CTTCATATCTCCATGCCACCTTACGGTTTCGCCCAACTTGGTGCAGCCACCGCGTTTAATGCACGCTGAAAAAACCGGACAACCCGAATACGGGGACATAGCATTTTTAACGTAAGCGATTAGAATTTAGTAAACACTCGAGTGAGGAACCAAGTGGCTTCAAATCATATAGGGTTAAAACGCAAACGAATGAACAGATGTATGACCCAAAATAAGTAAGTCAGTTGTTGACAGAGAGAACAACCAAAGTGGTAAGTTGCGCCATTTTTCCAACTAGTGGTCGAATATTGCTGGACAAGATCAGTGAAATTTGTGTCTTGTCAATTGAATGACGTCTAGTACTCTCGCCGACTAGCACGGTGTTGTCCCAACTTACGCGAATGTTACTGCATGACTCGTCTGAAAGTATTTCGTGCTTTGTGGGTATGTTAAAACAAATGTTTAAAAAATGTATACCAGTATCCCATAGAGAATTCACAATCTTGACGGAATAGGATTGCATCGCGGTCAAAAATAGTCCCGGTAAACAAATTGTTGGAAGTGTCTTGTGAATTGGGTGCATCCGCAGTAACTAGAGTAAAAAGATTTTTCAATGAAATGGCAATGACCTGCATGAAGACCCCGCTACGCGCTGACTGAATTATTCCAGATAGCCAGCGTATTCTGTATAATTTTTAAGTCTTCCTCTATAGCGTCCTATGAGCATATCTTTCTTGCCCTTGATGTGAGAATTTGTTGCACTGGTATTTAAGGAGTACAAAACTTAAATTCTTACAGGCGATATTTTGTCCCATTTGTTCGAATCAAGTCACCGAGCTGAATTCTCGAATGCGTTTGCTGTGGTTTATCAGGTTCCCATGAGCAAATCGAAAGGTTTATGTTTGAGAATGTTCGCCACTGCAGAAGCTGTTGCGACCAAAATATTCCAACCTCAGCTGTGCTTGCAAAAAGACTTGTTCAAGCGCTTTGCCTGTCTTGACCGAACAGCTATCAAGCTAGCCGTCTCTGTGACATCGGTTCAGGCGTTGTGATTGGGTAACCTCAAACGGTCTGTGTGAATGAGAGCGACGAACTGTTTTCTGTTTAACAACTAATCTACTTATTTCGGGACGAACCACTGTGTATTCCTTTGCATTTTAACCTCATATGATTTATACTGACCTGTAGATGAATCATTGAAAACAATTTGCCCCCCACGCGTTAGCTGTGAATCACTGAGAATGTTCCACCTGTTGAAACCTACAAAGCCGTCTCACCTGATCGAGTTTTTTAATCACTTACTAAGCTTTTCCACACGGCTTGCTGAAGCTAACAGCTATCTTTGGTCTCTGAATAATTGTATGGATACTCGTGAATACGCATCCACATTTTGGAAATACCTCTGCGGAAACCGCGTATCTCCGAACTTTAAAGCTCTCCATCTTTATACGCTAAATCAGCGCCTGAACTTTGACGGAACATCGCCCGCTGACAGTCCATTGTTGATGCACTCATCCCAGAGGAACATCGGGAGTTTGTGGACGACTATGTTAAACACATCATAGATAGAAGAGAGCAGAAAGATCGTTGCGCTTTGGCCCGATCACTTACCTCTATGAAGCCACAGGCTACGTTCCCAGCCCATCTTGAAAAATGTGTTCACAATTATTCAAAGTTGGTACTTTCGTCCGAATTATTTGAAGTGTTGTCACTTGGTTCGAAATTCTGTTATCCTAAACGTAATGAACCTCACCTAGATGCGGAGACTCAATTCGGAGACTTGCTCATACAAACGCATGATTTATCCTCTCTATGGACTGATGCTCTTGAATCCTTCAAGTTCTCGTTAGTTACTTATTGTCACCAATCTTGTAAAAATCTTGCAAATCAACGTGGCTTGGTTGCACGTAGACATTTGGTGGACCTGAACGAGATAAAAGATAATCGGATAAAGTCATTCTTATGGTCTTTATGGGTAGAAATGATTACGTTTCGAAAGTGAACCAGACTCTCCGAGACGAAACAGTTTTATGTGAAAATGGGCGGGAAGGACCAGCCAGGCAAAACGGAACAAAACCTGACTAAGTGCTTGAAAGATCCATTTACCTGCGATTTTTTACTTGATTGTCTATTTGAAAGTCTAGGGCCAATCGAAACACCTATCCCGAGAATACATAAGCTACCAAAAGTTTAAAAAGTAGGTGGATCTTTACGCACAATATTGTCCATGGTAAACTCAGCACACCATCCTACAACCCAGTGGTTGGCAGAAATGTTGAAGCCAATAAGAAAACCAATTGTTCAACAAAGTGTTCGTGATAGTTTTACATTCTTCGAGCACCTTAAAGATAGGAACCTACAAGGAAATGCGATGTTTTCACTCGATGTACCTTCTTTATTCACGAATGAACCGCTGCTAGAAAAAATTGCGTATTCGTACAACTACATGTACGAAAATGTATTCATTTGAATATACCATTATCAAGCCTGGAGGAGTTACTTCTGAGATTCACTCATTAGGTTCAGTTTCTTTTCGATGGCATATATTACCGGCAGAATGATGGAGTCCCAATGAGGTCCCCACTCGAGCCTACGTAGGGACCGCGCGACTTCGCAGTATCCTTAGCCCACGCGCAACTGGTGGTGGTTGCGTGGCAGCGAAGCGTCGGTACTGCGTACCGGCTTACTGCTGATTCCTGCCTGCCCTACTCGGACCAGTGCTAGCGGATGTTTTTTCTTGCTCAACTAAAAACTGATTCATTTATTCCACTTATCGATCGTTTCAACTATTACTATCGCTATATCGACGACATCTTTTGTATGATCAAGAAGGATACTACCTAGCAAAATGTAGTGGCAGAATTTCATAGTGCACAACTGGCAATTCAGTTCACCTACAAACTTGAGCAAAATTGCCAGCTTTCGCGAATATTATTATTCAGTAAGCAACTTAGGTATTTAGGCTGAATTGAACTACGGAACGATTATTATTAAGGCGCAATAATTCACACGTTCATATATCATTCTCTCCTAACTAATAGTGAATTAAAGGAATAGCTTGAATATTTTTGGCCTTGCGCTTACGCAGATCGTATGCTGTTGTTTTTTGCTCTTGCTCAAAAAGGTGTGTTGGATCAGGGGGGACAAATTGGATGATTTTGAAACACCTGAGTGTCCGTTGTTGTCTGTATGATAGAGTCATTTGGGAAATCTATGGGAGTGGGAATCGAAGGGCCACTAGACGGACCCAGTCCTGGTTGTCCCAGGTTGCGTATCTTTTCCATCCAAAAATCGAATGTGGGCATACTGGGGGTTAAAATCCAATAGTTCGTATTTTCAGGCAGCGCGATTGTTGGTGTAAATCAACAGAAGAGTCTCGTGCGAATTGGCGTTTGTGACAGTTCAGAGAACAGAGCGAATAAAATGCAAGGCGTCCAGCAGTGTACTTTCCACTGGGTAATTTCGAGGCTTTTGGACCTAAGTGACAGGGTACTGGATTTCCAGATGACCCCATTAATGCCTTCCACCTGCCCATTACCCTGAGGATTGTACGGTGTTGTCCGACTGACCGCGACATCTTTCTGTTAGCAAAGATCCTTTAAAATCCATCTACTTTTTCGAAGGAGCGCGTCGCCTTAATGAACGTTCCGAACAATATGCAAATTCTAAGTTGCATCTCAGCGCAAATGCTGCAGCGGGCGGTCATTATCTTCACCTCCTTGACTGCGAACAGTAGACTCCGTGGACGAACCAGTCGGAACATTATGATAACTACGGAATGGCACAGGGTGTCATGGTGTGACTGTGGTGACCCACATGTGCGCGATTAAACGTCTGCAGCGAGTTTGTCGCTTTCTCTGCGATAAGCCGTCTTAGGTATGCCATGAGGTCTCGACGCGCCGGCGCTGAATTTTATGGTTTGTGATCTTACCCTTCCGATCGAGGTTAAACGTAGATGAGACAGATCGCCGATCCTTAACAATGGTGAAGCGTTTGCCTATTCGGTAATGCAGCCATTTGTGCATCAAATCAACAATGGCACTTGACTCCTTCTCAGCAACGGAATAGCGTCGTTCACCGGCGGACAGCTGTCTTGAGAACAACTGGTGGTGATTCGTTCTGTTTTAACGTGCAGCAATATAAGATGCATCCTTCCTCCACGACTTATTGTCTTCATGGGTTTTCAGACTTCCGTCCACCGTTGTTTTAGGATCATATGCTGCATTAGTTCGCTCAGTGGAACTTTTATCGGTGCAATGTGCGGAGAAATTTCCGTTAACTAGGGATTTTCACCAGTTTCGAACATCCGATGTGCATACTGAGATGCTCCATGCGTGTGGCACGGGATTACTATGTTGCATAAATTAGTGCGCAGCACATAGTCTGCCTCTGGATCATCATTTTGTTCCATCATTTGCTTAACTACTCTGACTGTGTCCTTATGCATGGTTGGTGGGGCACGTTGGTTTTTCTCTGACCGTCTGGTCACAGTTTTCTCATCATCTTATGTGCTGTTCAATTCCTTGCAGACCTACACTATGAGTTTAGTGCTTTAGAACATACTTACAAACTTCTTTTCGTTATCGGTCACATCCCGTCCTTGATGGTTTGTCTCTTGTTCACTTGACAGGAGTGGCTGGCACGGGTTACCCTCATTGAATTGTTGTGCATGTGCGTACTCCCGTCTTGTACCGTGCAGCTCATGTCTCTCCTTTCCTCTTAACTTCCTCTATGCTGTCGTGTTACGCTTGCTAATTTATTGCAACTGTCAAACTTCGCGCACGAACTCTGACGTTTCATGTGTAATTAGTGTGATATTCTGGCTACTTTCCTTTCTTACTCGGTCTCTGTTAATAGTGTCATCCGGTGGACGAAAGGATTGCACCCCTCACTTGCAATCCGTCGGTCAGCGGTTCGAATCCGCATAGGGACGGGCGTCCTCACGGTATATTCAGCCTACGCGCGACCGGTGGTGGTCGCGTGGCAGCGAAACGTCGGTACAATGTGCCGGCATACTGTTGATGACTGTTTTCCTTTTTATTGACAGTATATTTCTTTCAGCCGTTACTTTCTTGTCAGTTCGCCTACTTACGTTTGGTTCTAGTAACTGCTCTTCTCGTTCGTCCTTACAGGAAGAGGTTTCGCAGCAGCTACCCTCACTAACCAAGTTGGTTAAAAATCCGGCCTACACCTGGCCATTCGAACTGGATACGTTTCAAAAACAAGCCATTCTATGCTTGGAACGCAATCAGTCGGTGTTTGTGGCTGCGCACACGTCGGCCGGAAAAACCGTGGTTGCAGAGTATGCAAGCGCAATGTGCCGTCGGCGTGGCTCCCGCGTTATCTACACCAGTCCAATCAAGGCGCTTTCTAATCAAAAATTCCACGATTTCCGGTAGAAATGAATTGTCTCTTATAATTCTTTATGAGCTCTTTGACTTGTAGTTTAGCCTGTCCCTATTCCGTTTTAGGACTCGCTTTATTCCACATGCATCAGTGTCTACTGATTCGCCTAACGATCTGGTGCCTGAGAACGTATCATCATCTTTCCATTAATTTCGATGCTAGCTCGCCTAAGGGTCATTTCCGGCCGTCTGGTACTCTTCAAACTTGATCGGGACACCTTTCCCGTCTAACAAATTAACTGTTACCGTGGGTTAGAATGCTTGCGACTAGGGCATCAAATAATCCACCGCTTATGTAACAATATCCTTACTCTTTGTATCATGCGCCTACCGATTACATCATCACCTTACCACTACATTTTTCAGTCAGCCGAAAGCTGCGTGTAGTCATTTTTCATCATCGTGTATCGGAGCTTGTCGTTAATCCGCTAGAGAGTCTCCGGATCACACACAAGAACTTGCTATTCATCCGCTACTGTTCCAAAGCGATTTTGTGGTTTTCAGGTCTGTTCGGTTGATACGTGGTCGCGCGAAGGTGTCTAAGCCTTTCGCAGTTCTTTCAACCTGAATCTCAGGTCCCAAAATTAAAGAGATTATTCCAGGAGACATGTTCCACTCTACACCGTTCCATCAATCGAAGCAGCCGACTTTTATTCCATTTCATCCACAAACCTTTGCGCAAATTAATAAAGCGCATCAATGGCTGGAAACGCCATATACCATGAAAATCTGGTTTCCTTTACTTCCATTCGATAGACTGTTTTGCAGTTTTATACTCTATAATCGGCCCTCTTTGTTTCATTTCTCTTGCTTGTGCGTTCGTGGATCAGCTCACACTATTTCGGTTGCCATTATCACCCTCATTACACATTAGCTGAAGGTGAGAAACACACTTCAACTATTGTGCCACAATACATAAAGATAAGACATATGAAAAAGGCAAGGTACCGATAATTATCGAATGCAAAAAACAGGTGACACACCACTAATATATTATGCGTCAAGAGAGAGATCGTGGTCTGGGGAGAAAGATAAGCTGGATGGGGAGGGACAAGAAAACTTACAACGCAAACGTCATTGAGGTCGGCTCCTTGCCATGTCAGCAGCTGTGTCCAGTCAAACGTGTTCATCTTCTTTCGGACCCCAGCCAGGCAGTCGGGATGCACCAATTACTGCCAATTTCAAAATGAGGGTTTTCATTCTTCTCGACCAAATCATCGCTTGGTCTCCTCTCCTCCATCCAGAACTCGGGCGCGCGAACAACGCACGTCGCGGTAGTCGGTGCGCTTCCATGCGCAGCACGTGGCCCTGCTATCGGAGCCTGGTGCGTGATATAACGGTGCTGAGCGATTCAGTTGCTCTTCCGGCACCAAATACGCGACGCCAAACACGCTCATTGCTCACGCGGTGCTCCCATCAAAACCGAGCTAAGCTGCGGTGGCAGTGATGATGGAACGTGGCTAGTCTCTTTATGTCTGTCTACTTGGTGGGTCAGGTTTCACAACCGTATAGGAGAGTTGAACGGACAGCTGCGTTATAAACTCTGCCCTTCAGGGCGAGAGTAATGTCGCGCCGGCGCCACAGGTGGCGGAGATTGGCAAAAGCACCGAGCTTTTTCTGTTCGGTTCGTGATCTCATCCTCCATCCAGCTTACGCTAATATAGCTGCCCAGATACTTAAATTTTTCGATGACTTCTAAATAATCCCCACCAAGAGTCACCGCAGGGGTGAGTCCCTGCCAATCTTGGAGAAGGAGTGCACTTCGAGGGTGTGAAGCATAGCCCGAAACGACTGACAGCCAATGTTAGTATATCCAGCGCTACTTGACACTTTCGTGAACTGCTACGGATAAGAGCAATGTCGTCGGCGTGCTCCAAGTCGATCTCCTCGAAGCAGCTCCACGCCTTGCAGGTCGTCTCCGTTTCGTTGCTCTATGCCACTTAGTCAGCTGAAATTAATCAGTCCGAAGCGTTGGGATTGTCTACTGTATTTGACTTTGCGATGTTTTTCTTTCCCCAAGCTACAGTATTTCAGCCTCCATCCATGCTGCTTACCGTACCCACAGAGTTCACTGTTGTAGATTCTAGTGAATGGTCGCCAAAGCTCAGGTATATCCTCAATGATCACTCGATACATCTGTGACTTGTCAACACTACATTCTTGCAAATAAACGAAGAATTATGCATCGATTCTTTATGCTTGATCAGAAATTTCATCCCTAAATTGGGCACACACTTGTCTCATGATGAATCTCGTGGTGCACCACCACATGCCCTGTTGTCTCGGGACCGTGTAATTGTCACACCAGAGCAACTTACACCATTGCATGGTAGATCAAATAGAGGACAGATTTGTGGCTGGGAACTTGTCTGTAGATACCTATGCAATCAAGTGGCGATCAACCCGATCCCATCAGTGACCCTAAGCTGCATCAATGTCTTATCTTATCTTACCTTATCTTATACTGTGTCCCTTCTTGCTGTTGTCACTGTCGAGTACATCGGAGTGAATATGTGCTGACTCACTCTTAGTATGTTTTGTTCTCTAAATGTCTTCCCTATCCGACTTTCAGACGGACTTTCGGAAATGATGTTGGTCTCTTGACCGGCGATATCAAATTGGCCGCTGATTCCAGCATGCTGGTCATGACTACAGAAATTTTGTACAACATGCTGTGCAGCTCAGCTGAAGCGATTCGTGACTTGGAAGTTGTTATCATGGACGAGGTAATTCATAGTCCCTCGCCGATCCCTTATTTACTTCTTGCTTTGTACCGGTTCGATGACCCATCCAGCTATTCCCGACTGCAGATTTTTTATGTCCGTTTTTCATGTTTTTTTCACAACTTAGTGGTGTATTGATATCCCTTTTGTTCCTGACCCCAACGGCTCTGTCCTTTACCTTGGCCCATAGATTCAGTCTACGGGCAACGGCCTTCTAAAGTCACATGAAATATTGGGCCCCACGTTTAAGGCAACAGTGTTGCGTTTCACGCGTATGTTGTATACTAGAAGATGGCTTAGAAACGTTTATTGAAGCCAAGTACAACCACTAGTTCGTTTCGACATGACGAGCACCAAACCACTTATTTGCAAACTCTTTCGCGCCTACTCTAGTCGTCTCGATTCGGTTACGATCCGTTTTTCCCAGTGTTCATCTTTCGTTGATAAATCCGCAAATGTTGTAAATTGAATCTATCACAATTATGCTATGTCACACGGCATTTACGCATCCGGAAAGCATTAGATGTTCATTCTAGTGTTTCGGCAATCGTCTGCAGCGCGCATTCCGCCTATAGGGTTAGAACCAGTGAACCTATTCTTACGAGTCAATAGTTAAGATTACTGGGTAACGGAAGACTGCAAGGACCAACATGGCTAATTTACTAGATGTGTTTTGGCGTGGCTCGCTCAACAGTGATTTACCGTTACTGGTCAGGATTCCTGGATAGATGATGGAACGGTGATACAGTACTTTCCCCGATATGTGGTGGTCGTCCGATTGGAGTAAATTCAGCCTATACCACTTAAATCCCCTACTGCTTCCTCAGAAGTACATCCCGGCATGCAATCCTCATTGCACAGTTCGTGAACAGACTTATCTGTTCTTAACGTTTCCCTCGCTGTTGCGTCACCGCGAAGCTCCTCTCACTCATGTCATTTACTCTCCGATGTAGCTGATTAAACAAACTGGTCCTTGACACGGTACTATTATTGTGTTTCCACATGGACTGTGCCACTCTCTTAGGCCACAATGTTTGTGTCACTTTGATATCTCTGTGTTCTTCTCGACACGCTTCACTGCCACCCTCCCGTTCATACAGGTTCATTATCTGAACGATGCCGCGCGTGGCCATGTCTGGGAGCAGATTATGATCATGCTACCCAAACATGTGCTTCTAGTGATGCTCAGCGCGACGGTACCAAACACAATGGAGTTTGCCGATTGGCTCGGGCGCATCCGGGGCAGTGAAATACACGTGGTGACCACGGACAAACGACCAGTGCCACTTGAACACTATCTGTTCACTGGTTTGGATGGACAAGGTGGTGAAATGGATCTTCACTTGGTGGTCGACCAACACGGTCGTTTTAGCCTACCGGGTATGCTTCCTGTGTGGGTTCTTTTTACAGTGTCAACGAAGCGCCGTTACGGCGCACAATTGACGTTTTTTATATTTTTTACAAACGGCCTAAATCTGAATTGTGCTAGTGATGTGTTACGCAAGTGGGACTATACGTAACAGGTAATGACATATCAAAACGACATCCGACTATCGGCTCCGCGGTTCTGCTCACCATCTTTACTTGGATTCACTGTGTACCTTGGGTAGGTAAAGTCAGTGCACCGAACTCTGTCTCCTGTCACCGTTCCGAGCAATAATATCCATACTCGCATTCCACCGGTGATAGATGCGCAACAGCGAAGCGTCTGTTAGAACTGCCGGCTCACTGTTGGAATTCGACAGTCGACTAAGTGTCTGAATTTCCGCCGCCTACACCCAGCCAAGTTTGTAATCTTTGATTCTACTCGCTTGTTCGCTCTATTACTTTTGGTTGAGCCGAATGGGGTGGCCATGAAACATTTAAAATCCCTTACGCTACTCGCGTTCGCCTTCCCGCTCATCATCGTTGTTCTCAACGATTCACGATGCTCCAGTATCAACTACTTTTTCGTCTCCGCTGGTGTTTGCTGCCACACATTTCCGGAGTGGCCCTCGGCGATTTCACGGAAACGTTAAGGCCAACACTGCGCCTTCATGTCATATTTTACCTTAACGGGTTGTCAACTGGCAAGGAAGTATAGTGGTATCAATGGTACGCAGTTCCGACGCTTCGCTATCGCCGCAACCACCAATCTTCACGCGCAGGCTAAGGATACTGCGAACGTCGCTCAGTCCCCTACGCATACTCGAACTTGCTCCCACGGATTACAAGGCAGGCTTGTGATCCTTTAAGCTACTGGCCGTCGCTTCTCAACTGAAGATCAGTAGATGTCGCCATTCAGTTTCCCAAGATTAGCTCACTGTTGTATCGGGTTTCATTACATGTGTTTACTACACTGTCGTTATCGATCTTCCCATCTCGTTTACTTGGCTAACTTATTGTTTTATTTCCATCGTCCTAGCCCCTGTGCTATTGCGAGCTGCTCAAAGATTAACGTTGCCTCGTTCCGCGTAGCTAGCTTTCATTGCATTCATTCGTATTGGTTGCAAGTTGGAGATGCTAAAACTCGTTAAAGGTTGCCGGATGTGGTATTCGAATAATTATTCTTTACGCCATTGAACTCGCCTGACGTTGATGCAATTCTACGACTATTGCTCTCATCACACAGATTGCTTTATTCGACACGAGAGGTCGCATCGGGCATGTTCTACTTCATGTGAATTCTTAAAACCCACGAGCAAAATGATCACTGCTGCTTACTCAGACACGCAGAGTAATTGTGCACCACAAGCTGACCTCTGAACGCGTTAGGACAACTTGGCCTACGGCTCGGATCTTTTAAGGGCTGCTTGTGTTAAACCTATGTCCTTATTTTACCCATTTAGTTGCAGTGAGCTAACAGTTTATTTGAGTGACGATCCGATTTATCCTTTTTCGCAACTGCTTCGTCGATTAGTACACTAGAGAGTTTCCCCTCATCCCGAGATACTTTTGTATCATTTTTTGCCTTCTCCAGAATAGGTACTCTATCTCGCTCTGCCCACACTTAACGTATGTTCCATTTTCCTGACATTTCATGCTTTCTTTCGTGCGCCTATGACATAGTACTCAAATCATGAATGTCAATCCTTCAGAGACAAACGCGTTGCCTGCCGAAAGACAATGGTCAACGGAACATAGCCATCTAGTGTCCTCTCATGTCGTTGCTACATCCTGTACCGCTGCAGCCAAGACTGACAATGTGCTTCTTCTTAGTGAAATCTTCCCCTTGTCTAAGTGGGGCGCTTCGAACCATATTGTGAGGGCTCATTTGGGTGTCACCGAACGTTGTCAGTTGATCAGCGGAATCACGTTGACGTAAGAGCGTCCCTGGTGCTCCCAATAAGTGGTTTCTTACGTTGATGGTGAATTTCGAATGGCGCCTTCTTCATTGTTTGATTTGACCTTCGTTTACAATACGTTCGTCCCGATCTCGCTTTCGTGGTACATTATGTCTTTGGACTATTTCTCACCGCTCCACTTTCTAGCAAGCTTCCATCTCATTGCGATTTTCATGCTAGAGCCCTGGTTATTCCACACACGTCACGTGTGATTACAGGGTGTGGCTCACAACAGGCTTCACTAGCTTGTTTCCATCTTCTCACGAACTTACACTTTTAATTGTGCAACGGCCCCCGTAGGTTGGTCACTGTCACTTTGCTGGGCTAGTCCGTAAAAGGCTACTGCGATATATATATATATATATATATATATATATATATATATATATATATATATATATATATATATATATATATATATATATAGGAGAGCCTATGGTGCGCTGAGGCTGGTGGTGGCTAGATCCTGACAGATGATCTACCCACTGTTGCGCCATTGGCTCATGTCGTGGACGCCTCCTCGTGGCGACCGTTGGGTGGAAGTTGGGTTTCACGCTTCTCCCTGTTAAGATCCAGGACACCAATCCGCATTAGTCAGTAAACTGACCATGTGCTAGACCCGCTATCTTTCGGGTGTATATTTAATCGAAGGCTTTGGCTGAGGACCCGAGTTGTTCTCCTGTCAGGTATGGGCGCCCTGCCAGTATCCTAGTCCATCCTCTTCGGAGGTTAGGAAGTGGTCGATGGCCCTCTTCACGTAAAACCTAGCCATGGGAGACAACAGGCCTACGGGTTATAAGTTCACAGCTCGATTGGCGTAGAATACCAGCGCCACGCATTGTCTCTGACGATGGGAGGGCACCTCCGGGTGTTCAACGGTTTGCTACTGCCCGCCTCAAGCCAGGCAGTCCCTGGTAAAATTGGTGCAAACCCACCTGCGTCTGGCCGTGGTCGCAGGTGCGCATCCTACTACGGTCGCAAAACATATATGAATCGCTCCAGTACCTCAAAGGCTGTGTGTGAAGGCCGTCAAGCAGATCCCAATCTGTCTCTGCAATCACATTCCCGAGCTGGATCTGCTCCCTACTGCCTAGTGGGTCAGGCTATTGAGCCAAAGGCTCCGGGTGGAGTCCCTCAAGCAAACCTCCGAAGCACAACGACCACCTCGCGTGCTATTGCCCACCAATACAATCGTATGCCTGCGTGCAAAGCACTCAGCATCAGGTGCTGGAACGTGCGGACACTACTGGACCGGAACCCGAGTGAGCACCCCGAGCGACGCACTGCACTGGTCGCGATGGAGCTGACGCGTTACCACATCGATATTGCGACGCTCAGTGCGACTCGGCCCGCTGACCAAGGTAAGTTGTATGAAGCAGGTGCTGGTTACACATTCTGCTGGGTGGGAAACGCCGCCTCAGCACCACGTGATCATGGGGTGGGATTTGCAATATCCGATCGCCTAAATGGCCAGCTGGTGGGTGTACCAAAGGGCATCAGCGCGCGACTGATGACTGTTCGCCTACGACTCGGAAGAGGTAAGTTTACCACTTTTATAAAAACGTACGGTCCGACCATGTTATCCGCATGACATGCGTGATCAATTCTACACTCAGGTATCCTCCGTGATACGGTCTGTGCCGAGGAGCGACCGACTATTTCTGCTGGCTGGTTTCAACGCGTGCGTTGGGAGTGATGCATCGGTGTGGACAGATGTTATCGGTCTGCATGGCATTGGTTCAGCGGATGCGAACGGTGACAGGCTGCTCTCACTGTGTGCCACTCACGGCCTGACGATCACGAACACTCGGTTTGCACTGAGTGCGAGTGATATAGCACTTGGACGCTCCCACGGAGTGGTCACGCTCACCTGCTCGACTATGTCATCGTACGTCAGCGTGATATGCGTGAAGTGCGCATGACACGTGTACTGCATGGAGCTGAGGGTGGCACTGATTACAACTTGGTGCGGACCAAACTGTACATATATATTCGTAAATCTCTGTATTGCACTCCCGCCGTGAATCGGCGTAAATTTCACATTCTCTCCTTCGGTACTGTGGCGAAACGTACTGAGCTGGAGAAGGCGATGGCTGCACGCCTGTGTGATGCGGAAGGCATGGCCACAGTGGGCGACCTGTGGCACCACATTCGCTGCCGAGGAGACCATCGGGCGCGCAAATTCTAAGCGGCCTGATTGCTTTGATGAGAACAATGCGACGATCGGCGCATTGGTGTCGGAGAAGAATGCAGCATTTGCTGCACATGTTGCAGATCCCAGTGACTTGGGGAAGAGTATTCAGTTTCGCAAACTTCGACGGCGACTGACCCGAGAGCTCCGTCACATTTAAAATGCATGGTGGACTGCGAAGGCGAAGCAGATGGAATGCTACGCTGAACGCCGTCAACACAATGAATTCTTTGACTCTTTGAAGGCAGTGTGTGGATCGAGATTGTAGCCGCAGAGGACGCTGATCTATGGTAGTTCAGGTGCTACCTGCACACAGACTGCAGATATAATGCAGATCTGGCGAAATCACTTTGACTGTCTCTTGAACAACCGTTCAGAGATCGACTGGCCTACATTGAACGGCCTCAAGCAGCATGATGTGAAGACGAGTCTGGCGGACACGCCGACAGTGGATGAGGCGCAGAGAGCACTTGCTCGGCTGCGAAACGGCAAGTGTGCTGGAGCCGACGGGATCCCGCCTGAAGTATTGAAACACGGTGGACCCGCGTTGGTGACCGCGCTGCACCACTTAGTGCAACGCGTATGGATTGAGGAGGAGGTGCCTCCTGAGCTGAAGAATGCCCTTGTGCTACCACTGTACACGGGCAGATGGTGCAAGCAATGTTGCACGAATTATCGTG